ATGTTGAATACAGAAAAAAACCAGGAAGCAAGCAAAAAAAATCCCAAAGTCCTCTAAGCAGCCAAAAATAGATGTCCTAGAGCTCATGTACTTCTTTATTCACGTTGAAAAAAAGTCCTCACTTGGAGTCTATTTACTCTTCTTTTACATATAATTTAAACTAGTCAGTTTATATAGATTCCTAGCATATAGTGGATTAGAAACAGGAAATAGGAGATGGTCTTGTTAGAGGAAGGAATGTTGCCAGCAACGGGAAGAATAGCTCAACCTACCCACTGTGATCCTAAATGTAGGATGAATAAGCTGGGGATGAATTTAGCTAGATATAGGAGTTTGCTTCCTTCATGAAGTCTTCTCTGAGGACGCCAGCAGAGTTCAGCTCTTCTCTCTTGACCTCCTACAGGATTTTGAGCCCCCATCACACAGTTAAACACCATCTTGTGGGGTTTAGCTTGCTCTTAGTGGTTAGCTAGCATGTATTCTCTTGCCTCAATGGCTGATCAGGAGTCACACGTTTTTTCTGAAGCCTTTTCCTTTGACTTCTTCCTCTTATTCTACTTAGCATGAAATACACAAGAAACAGCATTTGTTTCCAAGGAGTAGCTGTGATGCCATTCTGGCTTCAAACTCTGTGGGTAATATTTCCAGGGTTGCATTTCTATCCACAGCCAAAAGAAGGCTTGTAGTATGAATCTTTCAACACCTTTGCCTCTTACCCACTTCCCAAAAAAGCAAAAGGAAAAAAAGAGAAAACAAAATCCAAATTCTAAAGTGCAAGTACCAAGTGACCTCAGCCAGAAGTGTCCTTATCAACAGACATTAGGCAAATTCCAGTTCAACAAATGCAACTCAGTTAAATTGAATTCAACATTTATGAAGTACCTACTATTGAGATGTAAGGGTTTAGGGGTGCTGAGACCCCCAAATCATGACACATGGGTCCTTGCCCAAATGAATTTGACCGAAGACTTCTTTTAGCCAAAGACAAGGTTTATTAGAACATCCGCCATATTGGCCAAACTCTTAAGGAATCTGAACATTACTGAGCAATTGGCTAGATTTTAAGAATCTGAGCACCTTAATGGAGACAAGATGGACCATATATACAGAAAGACTGTGGGAGAGATCTAGGAGTGGCCAAGTATAGAATGCCAGGGACTTGGACCACATGGCCAAGGGAGAATGGAGCCAAGCTAAGATTAAGGGTAGGGAAGTGGCTGGGGGGGGCCCCCATAGGGAGGTAAGACAATGGAGGGCTAGGCTAGGTTAAGGGTAACAGAGAATTGGGAGATTGTGCATAGCCACAATGAAAGGCCAGTTGATGGGATTATAGCCTCAGGTGAATGCCAGAGATTTGGCCATGTGAGAAAGTCCAGGGTTTTTCCTTTTTGGGGTCTAGATCCCATCCTCATCACCTACTAAGTGTGGGGCACTTAGTAAGTTAATAATGAAGAGATACAATGATAAAAAAATGAAATAGTGATAGACTGTAAAGCTGGGTGGGACCTTAGAGGCCAGTAAGTCCAACCCCCCTCATTTTACAGATAAGGAAAGTGTGAAAGGAATTTTTGGGTTTTGATTTCCTTTTAATAATTTTTATTATTTGGGGCTCAGAGCCTTTCCTCCTGCAACTTTTAGCTAACTAAAAGCCCGTTTTCTGTTAATATTAACCTCATCTGACCAAAACTTGACTCATGGAATAATGAGTTTAAGGGAAGGTTATTTCTCCCAGTTGAGAGAGGTTGTTAAACTAATTGAAACCTGTGCCATGGGTTGTGAAAATTTACTTGATGTCTTAAACATTCTTTAGATAAGAAGTTGTCAAGGACTCTTTGTTGACATGTAAATCTTTCTCTTCAATAAGCCTATTTGTGAACCTTCTAAATGTAGTTCAATTTGTAATCTGTCTTAGTTTACCCATAAAATCTTTTTAACTAGGTTAGATTGTGTATGAGAGTATTGATGAGGTTTGGATTCTCGGGGAGCTGGGACCCTGACATCATGACATGCTGTGGGTCCTGCCTGAAAGAATTCAACCCAAATCTTCTTTCAGCTAGAGACAGAGTTTTATTAGAGATAAACCATATGGGCCAGACTCTTAGGGAATCTGAACATTAGTGACCCCCATAAGGGCGAGTGGACATGAGGAAATCTCAGCATTTAGATGGGGGTCAGGGTGGATCTTATATACACTCAAATAATTTTGGGTGTTTGGAGGAGGGGCTGGGAGAAAGATCCTGAAGCTGGGGTGAGTTTTGGGAGAATTCCAGTTGGAATGTCTGGTAGGTTGAATAGACAATGGGAATAGATAATGAAGGGAACTGGAAGGAAGAGGTTTGAATGGGGTCTGGATAAGATTAAAGGTGGGAAATATACTAGGGCTTCATTAGGTTTTCAAAGGGAGATAGGGAGAGTCCATAAGGAAAAGCCATTGAGTGGAATATAGCCTCAGGTAACCATCTGAGACCACAGTGAGTTTAAGGGTTTTCCGGGGCCCATAGACAAATGGGACCCAAATTCTTGGGCCCATACCTCATCATTATGACTCAGTTTAACTAAGTTTATTCAACTTTTATGACATTGAAGGAAGCATGGGGTTATGGATCTATCTTTTATTTAACTTCTATGGTCTAAGAGGAATGTACAAGATTGCCATATGCAAAAGAATTATTTCTGTCACTCTGACATAATTTTGTATATGAGGCCTTGTTAGAATTCTAATGATTGTTCAGGTTTATGGTTTTCTCTGAGGCTTGAACCCGTGCTTGAACATAATGAAATTTAGGTTTTTACCTCCATAATTTCTGCATTGTGATAAATATGTTTTGGCAGCAGTTGCTTACCACATGAACTCTGGACATATTTCTCCCATAACAAAATTGAGGCCCAGAAAAGTTATTAAATGTCTTGCTCAGAAGCACACAGCTATTAAATGTCTGAAAAGGTATTTGAACTTAGATCTGACTCTGAGGCTAGTGCTCTTATCCACCATTCTTGAGCTTTATATTCTGTTTGGTGGGATACAAAAGGCACACAGGTAAATAAATATAAAGTTATTCCAGGAAGATTGTGAGCTTACAAATAAGAAGGTCAAGAAAGTCTCTGAGCTTATCCTTGAACAAAACTGGAGCTTCTAAGAGGCAGAGGGGAGCAAGGGTTGTGTTCTAGGCTATGGGGGAATAGCCTGTGCAAAGTCATAGAGATGGGAGATGTCATGTTGAACACCAGGCTAGTTTGGCTGGAATGTAGAGAGCATGAAGGGGAGTAATAAGAAATGTCTATAAAGGTAAGTTGGGTCCAGATGGTGAAAGGCTTAAACACTGGGCCAAGGAGTTTGCATTTTATTCTAGAAGCAAGAGGAAGCCACTGGAGATTTTTGAGTCAGAAAGTGACCTAGTCACATTTGTGTTTTAAGAATGCTGATTTGGCATCTCTGGGGAGGATGGATTAGGATGGGGAAGAGATGGAAGCCAGGGAGGATAATATTGGTATTTCAACAGTCCAAATGAGAGGTAGTTAAGGCCTGAATTGGGGTAGTAGTGACTGTGTGAGAGTAGGCAGAAGGTACTGGTGGAGGTAAAGGAGTGAGTGAGGGTGGGGAGTCAAGGATGGAGTAAGTGGAAGGATTATTATGACTTCAATAGAAATAGGGTGGTCTGGAATAAGGGTGGTGTTTGGGGGAAAGATAATTTTTTTCTTTTTTCCCCCGCTATTTCTTTTTTTTATTTTACTTTATTAATTTATTATGATTTATCAACAATCACTTCCATATGCTTTTGAGTTTAAAATTTTTCTCCCTCTTCTTCCCCACCACCCTTCCCAAGATGGCACACAAGCTGATATAGGCTATACATTTATATTCCTATTAAACATATTTTCACATTAGTGATGTTGTAAGTAAAAATTAAAACCAATAGGAGGAATCATCAGAAAGAGGAAACAAAACTCAACAGAAGAGAAAAAAAATAGCAGTTCAACTTCCATAGTTCTTTCTTTGAATGTGGATAGCATTTTCCCTCATGACGTCTCTGGAGATGTCTTAGATCCTTACATTGCTGAGAAGGGTTAAATTTATCAATATTAGTCATTTCACAATGCGGCTGTTATGGTGTACAATGTTCTCTTGGTTCTGCACTTCACTCAGCATCAGACCATACAAGTCTGGGGAAAGATAATTTTTATTTGGGACACGTTGAGTTTGAGATGGGAGAGGTAGAGGAGTCACACATGGAATAGAGAACTGCTAGTATTACCTTCAACGGATATCTTCAAATCAGTAACTTTCAAATTTGCTCCCTTCCAGGCCAGGTTCAGTGACTGACGTTCAGAGTTAGCTTAATGGTTCATAGAAGTTGATTGAATCATAAATATCACAAGCCCAGTACAGAGGCTGAGAAAGGAAGCTGGGCTGCCAGAGAGCTAGGCCAAACCACAGGTGGAGGTGTGGGCCACTACTCCCTCCCCTTTCCACTCCATCAATCTCCTTAGGAAACTGCCAACTGCTTCTGATTTCAGAAAGGCAGCAGCTGGAGGGGGTGATGTGGTGGGCAAGGTGAGCAGCTAGAGCTGAAGGTCAGAAGCAGGAAGGAAACTGGGCAATAAAAATATAACCCCCTTCTCAGGTTCACTAAGTAATAGCAATAACAGTATTATATGGTGGCCTTCTTGGAGGGGCATGGATTTCAGAGAGATCACCATAAATGAGAACAACTTCATTATCTCAGTCTCTCTGGGGATAAGTAACAGCCTATTCACATTTCCCTTCAGGGGCTTGCTCCAGGCTGCCGGGAAATATTTATGGGTCTGAAAGCTCAGCTGGGCTTTTCTAAGTTAGCAGGGGGAGAGGGGGTGGGGCAGAGGAACCACTGAGATCATAGATTGTTAGAACTGAAAGGTATCCCTGGAAGTGCCTAGCACAGTGCTTTGACATAGCAGGCCCTTAATAATATAAACTACTCCGCCTAGTTTTTAAAGCTTTTCACAACCTGGCCCCAACCTACCTTCCTAGCCTCACTGGACATGACACCCTCTCCAGAGCTCTTTGATCCAGCCAAACTGACTCTCTCAGTAATCCTCCCCCAGGACATTCATCTGGTCTTCTAGTCTTCTGTGCCTCTTCATTGGCCATCAATAACCATGTCTGTGAAGGAGAAATATAATAGAACAAATTGTGTAAGGACAGGTTAAAGCAGATGGTCTCATCTACTTTTGCAAAAGCTATTTGTTATCCTTGGATAAGAGACACCTGCAAACTTTATCTACAGGGTTATCTCAATCTTGCTGTCTTAGATCAACTGGACTTCTTTAACAATTGCAAAAGTATTTGGTCTGGGCAGCTAGGTGGCACAATGGATAGAGTACCTGGCCTGAAGTGAGGAAGACTTATTTCCTGATTTCAAATCTGGCCTCAGACACTGTGAGACCCTGGGCAAGTCACTTCACCCTGTTGGCCTCAGTTTCCTCCTCTGTAAAATGAGCTGGAGAAGGAAATGGCAAACCACTCCAGTATCTCTTAAGAAAACCCCAATATGACTGAAATGACACAACAATATTAGGTCACCTCCTTTTGTTTCCTGCACTTGAACAGGGAATATTTTTTCATTCTGATGACAAACTTTGCTAGCTTGTATAGCAAATATTCCCCCTGGAACGCCCTGCCTCACTCCCCCTTTTTCTCTTGGGGATTCCTCCTTTCTCTACCTCTTTTTTTTTTTGTGAAAAGTATTACTTATCTATTCTAAATTACTGCAGAATGTTGCTATAGGCTGTGGACCTAAAAAGTTATAAAAACCAAATCTATACCATAGGAAGTTGAAGCTGCTTCATAGCAGTGAGTAGTCTTCCTTGGCATGCTAAGAAATCATTTTCCTTGGGGCAGCTAGGTGGCACAGTGAATAGAGCACCAGCCCTGGATTTAGGAGGACCTGATTTCAAATCTGGCCTCAGACACATAATACTTCCTAGCTGTGTGACTCTGGGCAAGTCACTTAACCCCAATTGCCTCACTAAAAAAAAAAAAAGAAATCATTTTCTTTTTACCTTAGGTCCTCAAATTATTTGACCCCCTCTCAGCAGATCTAGCAGGTATGGAGGATTCTCCATATCTCTCCAGGAACCCTCAAAGAGAAATGCCCTAGTATCTGAAATTCATTCCCTCCTTACTTTTGCCTCACAGTCCCTCTCTTCTTATAAGAGTCAGCTCAGGCACCGTCTTTTGCGTGGACATTTTCCTGAAACTCCCAGCTGCTTGTGCCACCCCTCCCATGCTGCCTGTATTCAACTACTTTGTATACACACATGTTATTGATTAACTTTTTATTTAGCCAGTGCTTGTATCATGATCTTTCTCTCCATCTCAATTTCTGTCCTCGTGTAAGGTGATTTCAACACACATATTGATAACCCCCTCAAACATGCTAATGTCTTGGTTCTTCCATTTACTCATTTCGTATGACCAACTCTTTCATGACCCTACAGCCACACACAGAGGATCATATCCTTAATCTTGCCATCACCCCAGAGGTGTTCAGAACTCTGAAATTCTTAACTGATCACAATTTGTTGTTATTCCATCTCTCCCTCTGCCATGTAACCCCTAGCCATATTCTTTATCCTTACTGTGACCTTCAATCCCTCTTCCCCTCAGTTATTTCCCAAGCCATCACCCCTGTACCGATTAGACTTTCCTTTATTCTCCATCTTGACTCCTTGATGAACCAGTTCAACTTTATGTTATCTTCTCTTGAATCCCTTGCCCCCTTCAATTGCCAATTTTTCCCTGGAAGCCTTAACCTTATATCCCTCTTACCTTCCAATGCATTAGTTTCTTCTCATGTGCTGCTGAAAGAAGCTGGAGAAAATTACAAAACTATGCTGACTGTGCTTGCTACATTTCTGCTACATAATCTATTTATGCTACATTATCTTAACTGGGTCCCTGTGGCAGTAAGGCAATCCTTTTATCCCTCCCTAATCAATTCACTATCCCATTCATTAGATTGGCTTTACCAAGTTTTCCGTGGCTCCTTCTTCTCTCAACCTTCTCCTCTCACCTTGCCTCATATTTCACTGAAAAAAATCTAGGACATTTGTTGAGAGCTCCCTCTTATCTCCTTATCTTCAACTCATATTACTCAGATGCCTTTCACCCGTCTCACACGAAAAGCTAGCCCTTCTCTTAGCCAAAGTTAATCCACCTATGTGCAGTAAGTGATCCCATCCCATCCTGTCTCCTCTATTATCCCCATTCTAAGTAAACTTCACTCTCTTCCTATCCACAGGCTACTTCCCTACTATCTATAAGCATACCTGTGTCTCCCCAATCCTCAAAAAACCCTCACTTGATCAGTCTGTTTCTGATAGCAATCATCTTATAACTCTCCTCCATTTCATGGCTAAACTGTTTCAGAAAGCCATCTATAATCAGTGCCTTCATTTCCTTTCTTCTCACCCTCTTTAACTCTGACTTCCAGTCTCATCATTCAGTTGGACCTGTTTTCTCCAAAGTTACCAGTGATCACTTAATTGCCAAATCTAGGGCCATTTTCTCAATCCTCACCCTTCCTTGACCTTTTTGCAGCTTTGGCACTGATGATCACCCTCTTCTCCTTGACATTCTTTTCTCCCTGGGATTTTGTGCTTTTTCTCCCACAGGGCAATCTGTCTCCTGACTCCTAGTGTTTTTACTGGTTGCCCCCTATGTCTAGAGCTCTGGTTTCCTTGGCTTCCTTGTAGTTTCCACTAAAGGCCTACCTTCCTCAAGAAGCCTTTCCCAGTCCTCCTTAATATTAGTGCTTTCCCTCTGAGATGATCTCCAATTTACCTTGTATATATCCCGTTTGAACATATCTGTTTGCATATTGTCTCTCCATCTTAGACTGTGAGCTTCTTCAAGGCAGGGCTGTTTTGCTTTTCTTTGTACCTCTGGTGCTTAGTACAGTCAGTACCTGGCACGTAAATGCTTGTTGACTTGACTTCACTGTATACATTTTTATATGTACTTGTTATCTCCCCCTCATTGCCAGAGTAGTGATTGTTACATTGTTTATACTTACATTTCCCAAGGACACAGGCCAGTGCTTCTCACTTAGTAGATGATTAATAAATTCTTGCTGGTTGAATGAATCATCTAAGTCTCACTTTTTCTTTTTAGAAAGGGGAAGGAGCAGGCCCTGATTGACCTGCCCAAGGTCAAAAAGCCAGCAGAGCTGGTGTTTGAACTCTGCTCCTCTGGCTCCTAGGGGCTGCTAGGTGGTACAATGGATAGAATGCTGTGGCTGGAGACCTTTTCTTTTCTTTTTTTTAGGCAATTGGGATTAAGTGACTTGCCCAGGATCACATATCTAGTAAATGTCAAGTGTTTGGCCTGAGGCCTGATTTGAACTGAGGTCCTCCTGACTTCAGGGCTGGTGCTCTATCCACTGTGCCATCTAGCTGCCCCCTTTTTCTGAGATCAAATCTGGCCTCAGACACTTACTAGCTGTGTGACCCTGGGCAAGTCGTTTAACCCTGTTGGCCTCAATTTCCTCATCTGTAAAATGAGCTAGAGAAGGAAATGGCAAACCACTCCAGAATCTTTGCCAAGAAAACCCCACATAGGGTCATAGAGATTTGGATATGACTAAAAAATGACTAAAACAACAATAACAACAAACTTCTGACTCCTAATTCAATCTTCTTTCCATATACCCACACTGCCATAATAACTTAACAAACTTGGGACAAATTCTTAAATCAAACATCACATTTGCCTGTGAGACTATTAGAATTCCATTTTTGATTTCTATTCAGGTATAGACAACTCATACAGAGGATCAGCTCCAGGATGCCACAAATTACTTCTGGGATCCCTTTCAAGCTTGAAATTCTGTGAACCTGCAAAGGTAGCAGGGATAAAAGCTGAACAAAGACTCTTGGGGTTGGATCTTAGTTATGGTGAAGCACCATTCACCTTACTGCCTCAATGTCCCAGCAAATAGTAATACATGCCACCATGGCTAGTTTTAAACACAGGTAGACAATACACCATGTTCAGAACCTGTCTTAGTCATCTCTTCTCCCTTCTCAACTTACCTGTTCTGTGTCCTATGTCTTCAGTAGACTCATTGCTAAGGCTAGTCTGCTTAAAGTTATACTTCTGAGTTAGTAGCCAACAGCGATTTAATGTGTTACCTCAGATAACAGCTGTATTATCCAGGGGCATAGGGGAGGCTTTCTGAGTTTCCTGAAATCAAACCAATAAATGGCTGGCTATCTACTCCACTTAGAAGTAAGACCATTCCTTGGTAAAGAAGAGGGAAGGGAGGAGGATGTGACTCCTTTAAGAGACAGTACTCTGTGGGATGCATGTCTATGGCATGGTCCCTGGAAAGACTTGGGGGATTTAGTTGAGGGGTTTAAAAAATCCTAATGCAATCTTCAGCTGTCTTAAAGTAGGGCATTTGGCCAACATTTCAGAAAAGTTCCATTCCCTTAATCACAAAAGAAATGGGTCTCTGAGTAAAGAGAGTCCAGCTCCCACTTGAAATTCCCTCATCCTGCTTGTCTAAATCTTACTCAGTCTTTATGGCCCTGGGTTGTTATGAGGATCAAATGAAAGACAGCTCAGTCCCACTAAGAATCAATCAACAAATATTTGTTAAAATTTAAGAGGAATCAATGTGAAATCTTGGATTTGAGTTGAAAAAACCAACCCATACAAATATAGAATTAGGAGAGATCAGGCTTGATGATAATTTATGTGAAAAATGATCCAGTGGTTGTGGGAGTTTAATATGAGTCAGAGAGGCAGCCTGACAAAATGGGTAGAGAGTTGGCCTCAGAGGCAGGTTCAAGTCTTTTCTTTGATACACATTGGCTGTGTGATCCTAGGTAAGTGACAACCTCTCAGTGATCTAGGCAGCCCTCTAAGGCTCCAGGGTGCTGATAGAAGGAGTTTCCTCACCTGGAAGGTCCCCTATATTAATGAAATCACAGGTCAACCTTCCTTGCACCCACCTGGCAATTTTTTTTTTTTGAGACAATCAGGGTTAAGTGACTAGCCCAGGATCACACAGCTAGTCTGAAGCTAGATTTGAACTCAGGTCCTCCTGACTTCAGGGCTGGTGCTCTATCTACTATATCACCTAGCTACCTTCCCCCTATCCCCCCAGCCCCTACAAATTAATGTGAGCCACCAGGGTAATACTCTTGTAAAAGCAAGCTAACACAATCTTTTTTTTTCTTTTACTAGATTTTTTATTTCATTGATGAGAAAACTTCCAGTGAGAAAAATTCTTTGCCTATATGTTAGCACCTATTTTGTAACTTCTAGCCTTAGAAAATTGCCTGGGCCTCTGAGAGGTTAAAGGACTTGCCCAGAGTCACATTGACCAGTATGTGAAAAAGGCAGGTCTTGAAAGGCCCTTCAAGGACTGGTTCTCAGAGGTGGCTAGGGAACACAACAGATGAGTGCCGGGCCTGGAGTCAGGAAAACCTTAGTTCAGATATTTGCTAGGTAAGTCACTTCACTTCTGCCTGCCTCATTTTCCTTAGCTATAAAATGGAGATAATAATAATGATAATAGCATCAGGGATATTGTGAAGAATAGATGAAATAACACTTGTAAAGCACTTGGCATAGTACATGGTACTAGCAGGCACTTAAACTCTTGTTTCCTTCCTTCTATAAACTATATGCTACTTCTCAGCACAGTCTTATACCAGATTAATAGGAGTGTACAAATAATAATAGGTCCTATTTATATAGCACTATGTAGGGGAATAATAATAATAATAACAACAACAATAATAATAATAATAATTAAACCGTCTTTTTTGAGCCTCAAAACAATCCTGTGAAGTAGATGCTATGGGTGTTACTCCCAAGATTTTACAGACAAGGGAACTAACGGTCAGTGAGGTTAAGTGACTTACTCAGGGTTACACAGTTAGAAAGTGTTGGAGTCAGAATTCAAACCCAGGACTTTGTGACTCCAAGTCCAACAATTCTCTGGTGCTTCTAATCTATCAATATGATGTATCAGATTGCTGTAAAGGATTAAGACACTCTTACCCAAGACATCTGGGCGGTTCAGTGGGTAGAGTGCTGAGCCTGAAGTCAGGAAGACTCATCTTCCTGAGTTCAAATCTGGCTTCAGACACTAGTTGTGAGATCCTGGGCAAGTCACTTAACCCTTTCTGCCTCAGTTTCCTCATCTGTAAAATGAGCTGGAGAAGGAAATGGCAAACTACTCCAATAACTTCGCAAGA